TCAAAAAAACAAACAAACAAACAAAAAAACCACAAAGAGGAATGGGTTGGTGGGTTCCTTAGGAAAAGTGACCTATCTTGTAATTTTTGATAGAAAAGTTAATAAACACTAGGTGTAGTCTGACATGCATCCTGGCTTTTGGGAAAGGTCTTTCTTGATCTTTCTGTAGTCTCTGACATGGTTGTTCACCTTCTCCCCCTGGATTTTCTTTCCACTGGGGGTTTTCAGAGTACTGTTTTCTTTTAGTTTTCCTACTTTTCTTGCTGTTCCTTCCCAGTCTCTTTTGCTGGATCTTCACCCTTCTCAAGAGTTTCCCCTATGCCTTCTCTTTTTTGGTGTAGTATCTCATTTGGTGATGTCATCAGTTTCTATGAGTTCAATTATAATCCCTATCAAGATGGACTATTAGATCTATATACTCAGCCCTAGTCACTCTCTTGAGCTTCAATCTGATGTTTGCAACTGCCTAACTGGATGCCTTGTAAGCATATCAAACTCAGTATGTTTAAAACAGAACTCACAGGTGGCAAAGTAAAGGCAGGGATTACCTGAGCTCTCCCAGATTTCCCTCCTAGCAACTTTAAAGTAACACCTCAAAACAAATTCTACACTAGCAGAACCAACAAAAGGTCAGGGTGAAATAATTTTCCAGGGCAAGACAATTTAGGAGGTTGACGGAAAACATCTGTCTCACCGAGATGGTGGTTGGGCTTGCTGTGCTACACAGGCTGCATCCTGGCAAGCCAGCAGCAGGCCTTGGAGATAGCTGCATCAGCAACAAGAGCAGCTTTGGGCGCTCTCAACCCACAGATGGCAAGGGGGTTGGGCAACTGGTCAGAAGGAGATTACAGAGGACCCTTTGCTGGCACTAGGTGCAGGACCCTGTTGCATTACCCCTACACAGCTCTGGGTGAAAGTCCGGGGCAAAGAGAAACACTAGCTCACTAGCTCACTAGCTCCTGTGGCTGTAGAGGTGCAGGGGCCCTAGTCAAAGTTCCAGGGTGGAAAAAGCACACGGACCAGATCGTATAGGCCAGGAGAACAGTGACCACACCTCTCTTTAGATCATACCACCTTGGAAGAACTGAAAACTTCCAGCACACCCCCTCCCCATACTTGTTCTGAAAACAGCAGCATGAAAAACCTGAAGCTTAGAATGGTGTCCCGTCCACCTGAGAGCACAGCCCAACTTTAACATGAAGTTATAAGTCAAGAAATAGGCTGGAAAATGAGCAAACAAGTTACTGTGGTCACAGGGAAGATCAAAACACAAAACTCAGAAAAAGACAGTGAAATCAAGAGAGCTACATGCAAAACCTCAAGGAAAAATGTGAATTGGTCACAGGACAAAAAAAGGAAAAAAAAGAATTTCTGGAAGAGCTCAAAGATAATTTTAAAAGTCAAATGAGAGAGGTAGAGGAAAAATTGGGGAAAAAAATTAAAGTGATACAAGGTAATTATGAAAAGAGAGTCAACAGCTTGGTAAAGAAGGAATGGGAAAAAAAAAAAAGGAAAACACCTTAAAAAGCAGAAATGGCCAACTAGTAAAAGAGGCACAAAATTCATTGAAGAGAAAAACTTTAAAAGCGGAATTGGGGGGCAGCTAGGTGGAGCAATGGATAGAGCAGTGACCCTGAAATCAGGAGGACCTGAGTTCAAATCCGGCCTCAGACCAAATGCTTGATATTTACCAGCTATGTGACCTTGGGCAAGTCACTTAACCCCAAATGCCTAAAAAAACAAAATAAACAAAAATAAAAGCAGAATTGGCCAAATGGAAACAGAGGTACAAAAATTCACTGAAGAAAAGAATTTTTAAAAAAGCAAAATTAAGGGACAGCTAGGTGGCACAGTGGATAGAGCACAGATCCTGGAGTCAGGAGAACCTGAATTCAAATCTGGCCTCAGACACCTGACACTGGCTATGTGACCATGGGTAAGTCACTTAATCCTGATTACCTTGCCAAAAAAAAAAAAAAAAGAAAAAGTTAAATTGGCCAAATGGAAAAGGAGGTACAAAACCTTATTGAAGGAAATAATTCCTTTTAAATTAGAATTGGGCAAGTGGAAGCTAATGACTCCATGACACATCAAGAAACAATAAAACAAAATCAAAAGAATGAAAAAAAAATAGAAGAAAATGTGAAACATCTCATTGGAAAACTAGATCAAGGAGAGATAATTTAAGAATTGTTGAACTGTCTGAAAGCTATGATCAAAAAAAGAGCCTAGTCATCATCTTTCAAGAAATTATCGAGGAAAACTGCCCTCATATTCTATAACTAGGGGATAAAATAGAAATCAAAAGAATACACTAAGCACCTCTTGAAAGAGATGCCAAAATGAAAACTCCCAGGAATTTTATAGCCACATTCCAGAACTCCCAGGTCAAAGAAAAAAGACTGCAAACAGCCAAAAAGAAATAATTCAAATATCATGGAGCCACAGTCAGGATAAAGTAAGATTTAGCAGATTTTATATTAAAGGATCAGAAGATTTAGAATGTGATATTCCAGAGGCAAAAGATCTAGAATTGCAGCCAAGAATAGCCAACCCATCAAAACTGAGTATAATCCCTCATGGGGAAAAAAAATGGATATTGAATGAAATAGAGGACTTTCGAGTATTCCTTATGAAAAGACCAGAACTGAATAGAAATTTTAATTTTTAAATGCAAGACTCAAGAGAAGCATAAAAAGGTAAGCAGGAAAGAGAAACCATAACAGATTTCAATAAAGTTTAACAGTTTACGTTTTTACCGGGGAAGGTGATACTTGTAATTCCTAAGAACTTTATCATTATTAGGATAGTTAGAAGGAGTATACCATAAGCAAATTAGGAGAGCATGTGATATCTTACTTGTCAGATCTATGGATAAGGGAAGAATTTATAACCAAACAAGACAGAGAGCATTATAGGAAGTAAAATGGATAATTTTGATTATAGCAAATTAAAAACATTTTACACAAACAAAATTAATGCAGCCAAGGAAAGCAGAAAACTGGGGGAAATTTTTTTTATAATGTTTCTCTGATAAAGGCATCATTTCTCAAATATATAGACAACTGAGTCAAATTTATAAGAATACAAGTCATTCCCCAATTGATAAATGGTCAAAGGTTATCAACAGGCAGTTTTCAGAAGAAGTCAAAGTTATTTATAGTCTTACAAAAAGTGCTCTGAATCACTATAAATTAAAACAACTCTGAGGTACCATCTCACACCTATCAGATTTGCTAATATGACAGAAAAGGAAAATGATAAATGATGTAGGGGGGTATGGAAAAATTGGTACGCTTACACACTGTTGGTGGAGTTGTGAACTGTTCCAGCCATCCTGGAAAGCAATTTGGAACTATGCCCAAAGGGCTGTAAAACTGCATACCCTTTGACCCAGCAATCCTACTACCAGGCAGGTCTGTATCCCAGGGAAAGTTTAAAAAAAAAAAAAGAAAACAAAAGGAAAAGGACCTATATGTACACAAATATTTATAGCAGTTCTTTTAGTGGTGGCAAAGAATTGGAAGTTGAAGGGATGCCCCCGTCAGTTGGGGAGTGGCTGAATAAATTGTGGCATATGATTGCTATGGAATACTGTTGTGCTATAAGAAATGATGAGCAAGATGATTTCAGAAAAACCTGGGAAATTATATGAACTGATGCAAAGTGAAGTTAGTAGAACCAGAACACTGTACATAGTAATAGCAATACTATATGATGATCAAATGTGAATGACTTAGCTATGCTCAGCAATCCAGTGATCCAAAATAATTCAAAGGACTTATGATGAAATGTGCTATCCACCTCTAGAGAAAGAACTGACGAAGTCTAAATGTATATCGAAGCATACTTATTTTACTTTATTTTCCTTTTTTTGGGGGGGAGGGTGTGTTTTCTTCTGCAACATGGCTAATATGGAAATATTTTCCATGACTGCACATGTATAATCTATATCAAATTGCCTGCCTTCAGGGGAAGTAGAAAATTTGGAATTCAGAATTCTAAAAAATGAATGTTAAAAATGTCCATGTTGTTGGAAAAAAATATAAAAAAAAAAAAATCACCTCACCTTCCCCTCCGACCTTGTGAACTTCATTGTTTTCCTGTTGAGGGAACTACCGTCTTTCTGGTGTTCCAGGTTTACAACCTGTCTCCTTACTCTCATTCATCTCACATATCCAATAAATTGCCCAACATTTTCCATGAATCCTATTATGTTTGAAAATTAAGGTAAACTAAGAGACGAGGTTGAACATGATCAATTTATTAGTTAGGCTAGCACTATAACCAGGGGCAGCTAGGTGGCACAGTGGATAGAGTACCTGACCTGGAGTAAGGAAGACTTCCTGAATTCAAATCTTGCCTGGGACACTTACTAGCTGTGTGGCCCTAGGCAAGTCACTTCACCCTGTTTGCCTCAATGTTCTCATCTGTAAAATGAGCTGGAGAAGGAAATGGCAAATTGCTTTATTATTTTTCTCAAGAAAACCCCAAATGGGGTCACAAACAGTTGGACATGGCTGAAAAACACTGAACAACAAAAAGAAGTAACCTCTAAATTGGTTCAGTTGCCTCTGTCAATGTCCAAAGACCCTGAGTGAGGGCTGACAAGGTTTTTTATAACAATTAGCATGATGACAGAGCAGTAGAAGTTGTCTTCTGATTGGTTATTGATGACATTATATCATGATAAACCCAATTTGTAGACATTTTAATGAGGAGGTGAGTTATGAGTCACTTTAGTTCTTCCCCATTACTTCCTTATTGGGAGATGAGAATAATCCTCAAGTGACAGGATTAGTCTGCAGACTGGTGTAGTCTGAAATGCAACTTGAATTCAGGATAAGGGAGTAGTGAGTGAGGTTACAAAGATGGTTGTTATTTGTCCTTAGTTTTTAAAGAAGACCAATAACATCACAGGTAAGTTCTTTACTTGAGTGTGAATTGGATTTGAGTGAGGTAGAGTTACACAAAGTCATCAGCCTTACTCTCTCTTCCAGAGTCATTGAAGTCCAGTGGCAAGACCAAAGTCAGAAGACTGGCGAAGACCCAGGATGCAGTGGATGACTTTGATGGCTTTTTTGTCTACCAAGCTCAGCTGACTTCAAAGCCCTTGAAAGAAGTTGTTCTTATCCACCTATTCTACTGCAGAAATCTTCACATGCTTGGGGTAGACATTACAAAGGTAGGCAATAAAAGGGTGAACATTCAATCACAATAAAATTGAGTCCTAAGTGGAGGTAATTACAAGACAGAAGCTTGGCCTTTAATCAGATTTCTTGGGATTGTAGTGGTGAAGTTACAAAAGTATGGAGTTTGGACTTCCACGGCCTTAGGAGAGTATTAAACACACGCCAGCTTGATTAAGTCTTAAAAAGAGAATTAAAATAAGTTTCCAATTTTACAGTCCCCTTCTCTCCACTCAAACAGCCATCACTCTAGTTCGGAGTCACCTTTTGCCTGGTCTATCATAATAGCCTCCTAATTGGTCTTCTTGCTTCAAGTTTCTCCTCACATCCTCTTGACAGCTGCTAATGGTTTTCCTAAAGCATAAGTCTGATTTTATCACTCCCTGTTCAGTACACTCTGAGGGTCCTGTCTTATCTCCAGGGTCAGATATAAAATCCTCCATTTGGCATTTGAGGTTCTTTACAAACTAGCCCCTTCCTATTTTTCCAGTTTTCCATAAACATTAGTTCCCTTCACAAACTCCATGACAAAGTGATACTGATTTACTTGCTGTTCCTTGAACACAACATTCCATCTGCTGACATTGTACCTGTTCATTGGCTGTCACCCATGTTCAGAATTCGACTTCTCTTATCTGCCTCTTGATATTCCTAAATTCTTTCAAGCCCCAGCTCAAATACCATTTTCTGCAGGAGGTCTTCTAGTCTGCCTCGCCACTTGAGCCATCTGGTTTATGCTTAGTATGTATTTTGCATGTACCTATTTGTTTACATGTTGTCTTCCCTATTATAATGTGTGTAAGTTCATTGAGGGAAGGGACAGTTGTGGTTTTTGTCTTTCTTTTGTGTCCGTAGTGGTTAGCACAGTTCTTGACACAGAGTAAGCACTTAAATGTTTATTGGTTGCTTGACTGCTTGATACTCAAGAGTTTGACTTTTTAGTAATAATTCCATTTTATATATTTTACTTACTGCATATTTGTTCTGCTTATCTTTCTAAATTTCGTGCAGATCTTGTTTCTCTGAACTCCTCAAATATATTTATCATTTCTTATTATACAATACAGTTCCATTACATTGATATTCTATAATTTTTTCAGCTGTATCCCAAGTGATGGGCAACTACTTTGTTTCCAATTTTTTTGCTATCACAAAGAGTACTGCTATGAATATCCTGGCATGTATTGGACCTTTGTTTGTGGTTATGACATATACAACAGGTATATATGCCTGTTGAGGTCTAGGGGTGCTGGGAACCCTGAAATGCAAGGGTTACAGGGTGGAGGTCTGCCTCGAAAGAATTGGACCACTCAAGCCTTCTTTCAGTCCAAGTAGTGAGTTTATTAAGATACTAGATTCTGTCTTTTGAAAAAAATGCATAACAAAAAGCTACTATAAATTAAATAATAACAAATTAAAAGCTACTATAAATTAAATGATATTGTATATTAAAAATCACTACATACATTTGAAAAACAGCAATAAAAATCATAAGGGTAAGTGGAAAACCTTTATTTTAAGCATTTGCCAACTGTATCTGCATATAAAGAGATAGGCTAGGCCTGTAGGAAAGACAAAGAATGACCTTATCCTATGGATCTCCCTTTACCTTGATGACATTGCTCTCTCTGCTCTACTACTTGGGAGAGCAGAAGGGATTAGAGTTTAGATAATGGAAGACCCTGGCACCTTAGAGCCCCTTGTCAATTAATGGGCCAAAATCCTTAAGTGGGTGTAGCTTAGCCTTTAAAAAATAAAATCTTAAGGTTTATAGGTAGCTCACCACAACCTGGAATAAGTTTGCCCAAGAGAACTCAAACCCCAGGAGCCAGAAAAATTATTACAAATTAAAAATTAAGCTTAAGGGAATTAGCTAGCTAAGAGAAACCTGTTCTGAGTCCCTGGGTACTTGTTGCCTGGGACAAAGAAATATCTTTTGGGGGTGGAAAGGCCCTCTAGCCTAGATTCTAAAGAAGAATAGGTGAGCCATTCATAAAGGAAAAGCAAACAGCAAGGATAAGTCTCTCCCCTTTCCCCCAGGGAAGGCTACTACTGACCCAAAGCCTAAAGCAAGAACATCTGCTTTTCTAATAATGCTATAAAATATCTCTGGGTTGGGATTTTTTTGTTTGTTTGTTTTTTGGTATAGAAAAGATTGCCTACGCTAGACTTTAAGCCTGAACCAGACAAGCTCCATAATCTGTGTGACTAGCAGAGCTGTCCCTGGCAATGGCTACTATCTGGCGAAGATGATGCGTTTATTGGAAGACTATACAACTGGGCAGCCCAGTCAGGCAGGAGCAATGCAATGACATTACTAAAAGACATCAGTGATCTCTAAGGGTTGGAGGCACGAAGGGCCAATTACAGAAGCCAGCTTGGCTTAAGTTCTGTTTTGAAACTGTTCATTCAAGCAATAGCTTGAAGCAAGGAAGCACATACCTCACTTGCTACCTTTGTTCTCTTCTTTTTTTCTACAGATTGTCTATTCCCATGCACAAGAAGCTGTCCAGCTCTTAAAGCCAGTCTAATCTAAATGATCATTAGGTAATCCTTAAATTCATGCCCTTGCCTCAGTCAGGATGCCTGAATTCAGACATTGTGAAAAAAAAAGTCTGGATCCAATACATGTCCTGATACCTTCCATATGTCTGTCAGTCAATCAACCAAAAAATATTAGTTGCCTACTATGTGCCAGGTATTGTGTTATGCATTTACATTTAATATTTTTGTTTTTTCTGTTCACTAATGTATATAAGACATTTCTATCTTTTAACAGGACTGAAGCCTCCCTAAAGAAGTGATGTCACGGAGCAGCTAGGTGGTACAGTATATAGAGCTCTGGCCTTGGAGTCAGGAGGACCTGAGTTCAAATCCAGCCTCAGACACATAACACTAGCTGTGTGACTCTGGGCAAGTCACTTAACCCCAATTGCCTCACACAAAAAAAAAAAAAAGAAAGAAAAAAGTGATGTCCCCTGGCTTTGCCAGCTTTCAAAAATAAAATCTGTGAGTAATCTTGCAAATGGGAGAAAGTGGTTTTATTCCATAATATACTCCATGCATATGCCTTGGCTACATGTGTATACTATGTACGTCTGTTCTTCCCACATAATGGTGTGTGCATTTATGGAACTGTGTGCTCCAGGATTCTGAGGGAAATTTTGTATAGCTACTTCATGTCATCTTATTAAATGGTTTTTGCTTTGTACTAATTGTGTTGTCTGGCTGGCTATTAAAGGTAAACATGGGAATGGGGCGCTCATGATTTATTGTTTTGGTGGAGGTGAGCTCACCATGTGTTTAGAATCTGAAATAGTCACTTTATGAAATGTGGCTCAATGTGGCACCTGGAGGCACAAATTACTTAGTCCACCGCATTATATATTACACAGAATTCTTTGATAAGATATCAGCTAATTATTTGAAATATTATGGAAATAAAGTCCACAAGAACTGGCAATTAATTGGCTGTAAGGGGTAAAGAACAAAGATGATTCCAAGATTGTAAACCTGAGTGACCAGAAGGACAGTGGTGCCTTGACAGAAGTAAGGAAATTAGGAAGAAAGGAAGATGTAGAGGGAAAGACAGGGATTCTTATTTTGCAAATGATGAATGATACAATTATAAAAAGAAATACAGCCCCTGCTTAAATTCTAATAAGAGAAAACATCACATAAGGAATAGTAGCTAAGGAGGGGTGGTTTGATCTGGGAAGTCGCTGGGATAGTGAGTGGAGCCACTGGATGGTTGATTGACATACCCTTTTGAAGAATGGCAGTATTGATTTGATTCTTGCTCCAAGGGATGGGGAAGGGGTGGAATGTGGGCAGTGGCATGGTCTAAGGATGGTTGGTGAGAGTCTGAGTCAGGCTAGTTATGGATAACTGACCAGTTAAGAGCAAGCATGACCTGAGGTTCAGAGCTGGAAAGCCAAGGCACAGGCAAGGAGCCATTGCATAAAGATGGCCAGAGAGCAGTAGCTGAGTTTGAGATATATATGGGACATTCAGGAGGGAGCTGGGCTCAGGAGAGAGATTATAGCTGGATATATAAATTTGGGAGAAGAGGGCCTAGGACAGAGCTTTGGAGAATCACAGAAGGTCACAGAAGCCAGAGGTGAAGAGAATGTCCAGGAGAGAATGGCAGTTAATATTAAAAAGTTGCAGAAAGGTCAACAAAGACAAGGACCAAAAAAAAAGTCATCAGATCTAGCAGTTAGGTCATTGGAGAAAGTAATTTTAATAGCGTGGCAAAGTAGACGCCAAATTGCAAGAAAATGAAAAATAAGGAAGCCTAGGAATTTGGCAATTTAAAAAAGTAGACATGTAAGATGATAGCTTGAAGAGATGGCAATATATAGTGAATCCTTTTTTTTTTATTAGATTCAACCAGATCATTTTGTAGATAGAGGCACATAGTCAGGAGAGCCTTAGATGATGAAGATAAGAGGGAAGAAATGACTGACTGATAGGAGAGGAAGAGTCAAAAAGGACATAAGCAGAGCTTAGCATTGGAAGGGTAAGAGTCACTTCTTCCTCTTCAGAAGATGCCGGGAGAGTTTTAAAGTGTGGAACCCGGGAGAAGGTGCTTTCGAGGGCTACAGTAAATAGAGAGGTTGTATGGGAATTTTGAAAGAGGATTTAGAACAACTGCAGAAGAAAATGTTTGAATCATCAGAGAAGACTTAAAGGATTGCTGAGCAGTAGTAAGAGCACAACTGAGATCAGAGAATACGGATTTATAGTGGACCAAGATTTTGTGATTTCCTTCAGCAATACTCAGCAACTCAGGTGTAGAAGTGGAAAAGGTAAATGATGGAAACAATTCAATTAAATTTGACAAATATTAAGATGTATATTATATATATACACATATATGTATATATGTATGTGTGTATACACACACACATACATACATGGTTGTCAGTCTTTCTCCCAGGGCTGTTTGTAGGAATTTTATATTCATAAAGCCCCAGAAATAGTTATGGGACAT